CTTGGGGTCAGTTACTGAGCTGTGTTTTCCAGCAGCTCAGTAGCGTCAGACAACAAAGACTATCATTTCCTACGTGCTAACCTCTTCCTAGCAAGTGGGCTTCATCAACACCTTTTACTTTCTATATCTTTTAAATTTATTATTATATTAATTCATTCCTTTCAATGTACTCCTCCCCCAAAATCCTCTTTTTGTTTTTGTTAGTCTATTTTGATTCTTTTCCCCCAGAAAATAAATCTGAGCTTTTTCTCACAGTGTGTATTCCATTCACAGTGCAGAGAAGCAGAGCATATATTGCATATTATAATATAGAATTATTCACAGACGAGTCTATGAACTGCACTTCATCAACATCCTAGGTACAGAAACTCATGGACTCAATATAGACAGTGGAATTTTGATACACTACAACCTGCTGGACATCTAATTCCCCAGGTACCTCTCCACTTTTACCTGCACTGCTACATCCCCTTTTCCCCTTGCTCCCCAGCCTGTCCCTCATCCCCTGATGACTCCATTTCCATTTTCACTAACTGGCTTTCTTGCCTGCATTACATATCAACCTCTGGCTTCTTTACTATTTCTTCCATCCAGGAAGAGCACACATACACACCAACTGCAGGTGCTTCCTCAGCCTGACAAAGGGTTTTTCAACCTGAAAGTTTGCTCAGATATATTTCTCCAACTATTCAGTTGGTCTACTAAAAGATACGAGATTAACCCAAAGAACCTTGTCTGCCAGTGCCATGTCCTTAGACCAACACCCCTAGCACCTGTCCCTGGTCAGCTGACCAGAAGGATGCAGGGCCCTGAGCACATCTAAGCCCCAGGGCTGGGGCTGGCAGGACGAATTCTCTGGCAGCTGCTGGAGAAGAAGTTCTTGCAGGAGAGGAAAGAGAGGCTCTGTCACAGTTTGGCTGCCTGAGATGCTGCTAGTGTTACTGTTCTGCTTACAAAGTTATTACCTGTTGTCATTTAAAGTGGTGGACTGGGATGATGCTATAGGGGAGGAAGAGGCCTCATTGGGGCACACTACTGTTATATAGAGGCCCCAGTGCCAGTGAGGGTGCACCTTAAAACACACGCAAAGTTACACATGTCATGAGTTTTGCTTATCAGCAACTTGAGGTGCAGTTTCCTAGAAACCCTTATCTCCTTGAAACCTAGCAGGCTTCATGGCCTCAGCCGGAGCTACCATGCCTGCTGTTTTCACCCTGCTGTACCTTAACACATACACACGACATGAGGTTTGCTTGTCAGCAGCTTGAGGTGTAGTTTCCCAGAAACCCCTGTGCCTGTCTCCTTGAAACTTGGCAGCTTTTGTGGCCTCTGCAGGGGCTAACATCCCTTCTATTTTCATTCAAATCAGGCAGGACATAACAAAGTTATAGGCAGTTTTGTGATTCCCCATTATAGCCTATGGGCAAAACGTCGAAATAGTGAAACAGTTTCGAAGAAATGAAATGGAACAGTGGTTCAAAATGAAACGAAATGTTGAAATAAAACACTGTCCCTTCAGAATGGTGAAATGGAAGTCGAAACAAAATGATGCTGTTTCGCACAGGCCTATAAATGATCATATCTCTATTTAATTTAGTGACATTAAGCTAGTTTATGCTAGGAGAGACTCTATCTATACATGTATATAGATAGAATCTATAATAATCTATTTTTTTCTTGTTGCCTAATTTTCAGAAATGATGAAAACCTCTCACTGTCCCTTAGCTGAGCATGATTTCTCAGTGCTAAGTATCTACCTCTGAAAGTCAGGTTATTCATTTAGACCAGTGGGTACCAACCTGTTCGGCAGGTGTGCCACAAATTAGTGGCAAATGCCACTCTGATCCCCTTTGCTTGCACGATCCCCCTGCTTTGCTTTCTGGGCTAGCCTGGTACTGCCTGTTCTATCAGCTGCTCTGCTTTGTATCTCCTGCTCTGTCTGCCACTATGCTGCCTGGCCCCTCCCTGATCTGCCATCTGCCACACACAGAGGCTACCTTTGCCAGTTGTGGTGCACATGCTGCAGGCTGGCCACCTCTGATGTAGACTAACTGCTTTAGTATACATTTAGCTTTAACAACCTGTATTTATTTGAGGGTTGTTTCTGCTTTAAGGGATACACCTTCAAACTATACTTTCTTTTCTTAACTAGACAGGAAGAAATATTTTATTCTTCATATTTTATTAATAAACTATGAACCTCAGAAAACATGCCATCACTTATTTTAATTTGTGCCTAAATTTACATTTGATTATTACTATCTCAAACATAATTTTATGAGGAAAATAAGGTATTATAGCTCTGGAAGTATTTATTTTCAATATCTCATGGTTGCTCAAAGTGGTACTTACCAGTAGCTGCTTTGTAAACAGCGTTACATTGAGGTCTATTGTAGTTTAGTTGAAGAATGTGCTGTGTGGATTGCAAATGGCATATTATATGGCAAAGGTTCTGAAGGCAGATGCAATAAAACCGCAGCAAGGGATAGTTCATTGACTATGTGTGGGCCTCCATTTAATAATGCAAACTTTCTGCATCACAAGTAGTAACACAAGAAGTAACATGTGAATATTTTGTTCATTAAAATCAAATAATAATAAGACAAGTATTTCCTTTAAAACAGTTATGACAACGTATTTTTTTCTGTAGCTCATTTGTTACACACATTTGAAAGCCGCTTTCTGAGCATCAGGTAATAAAGAACATGTATATCTAGGGATCCATGTAAAGCAGGGGTGTACAATTATTTTGGGCAGAGGGCTGCTTACTGAGTTTTGGCAAGCCATCAAGGCCCACGTGACAGGCAGCCCAGGGAAGATTAATATTCATTTTCTAAATTTTTTAGGGGCCTCGTGGGCTGGATAGAATGGCCTGGCGGGCTGCATCCGGCCCTGGGGCCACATTTTGCCCACCCCTGCCTTAAAGTGTACCAAGGTGAACAAAAAAATGCAGGCTGCTCATGGCACCCAGCACCATTTTTGGGGTAAATCCTCCCTGTAATTGGCTGAAGGCTGCCTTTGATATGGTCCCGCCCCTCACTGCTTACTGGCAGAAAGGGGCGGAGTTGCATGTAAGTCAGCCCTCTCCACCAATTAGCAGTGGAGGGAGCGGCCACCATCTTGGCTATTCCCCTTTGTACCAGCAGCTTACCACACTGGTGGGCTGTGTGGCCAGGCTGCAGCAGCCACTAGCTCCCTCTGGGGAGCCAGCATTTTATTTTTATTAAGTGATTTTTCCAGTGATTCCATGCAAAATTGCAGAAACTGTGGTGTATGCAGAAACCACTCTTTTTTGCAGTTTCCACAAAAATCATGAAACCACAATGTAAATAGGTACCTACTCATATCATCATATATTAAAAAATGTTTAATGGACACAGTGAGGGTAAGCATTTCTTTAAATGCTTCTGTTAAATATTCATTACTTATGGTCTGCCAACAAACAGATTTTTTTTTCTACAGAGTGTGTCATGTAATTCAACAGATGGGTACATATTTCACAGGACACATCAATATTAAAAATATGCACGGATCTTAGAAATCATTTTGCCTTGAATTAAAATAAAACAGGAATATTATGACAAACAAGAACCAGCTAAATTATTAATTTTTAAAAATAATTTAAGATTTGTACATAGTGTGATAGGTTTGTATTACACTTTGAATAGAGGAGAGCCATGTAATCCCTGCCCCAAGGATCTAATTTAGGATGTGAGAGCACCATCTAGCAAACAATTTTGTACTCTAAATTTGCTTATTTGTACCAGAATCCCATGGGAGGATGTCCTTGTAGAACCAGCCTATAACCTGAATACAAGTGGCTAAGGTGAAGTGGGACAAAGAAAGGACTGTAGGGTTGCTCAGGTAGTGGTGGTACATCCCACGTTTTGATGACCTTTTCCCCATCCTATTTCTTCCTTTATTTCAGCAATGTGTTACTGAGAGGGTTAGGCTTGGAAAAGTACAGTTCTGGTATGCAAAGGTGAGAGACTGCAAGGAGAATTTTCCTTCCTTCATTGGGACCACCATGCAAAAGCTGGTTCCAACCAATGTTAGTGCTACTTGTGATGTAGTCACCCCAAAAGGTGGGGAGAAGGTGGAGTCATGGGGCAACCACTCTCACTGAGTATGGCTGGATGTGGAGAAGGTAGAAAGCACCTCGTGATGTTGAACACTGCTCACAAGCCTTTAGTTGTGCGAGGATGGGTATGGTATAAGAATCGGAGCAGAAGCACATTCAACAGCTCTTCAGGGGACTAGGTGGCTCCATACAACCTTAGCTCAGAATTGCATCTTATGGGTACAGACATGACTCTATTGCTGCTCACTATTTATTATGGCAATGGGGTGCTCTACAAATACTTTAGAGGGGTGGATAGATTACAGAGACAAAAGGTATGTGAGAAATCTTCCCTTTTCATATCAGAACATGCAAAAGGGAAAAAGTATGTAGGAAACTCTAAGGCAATTATTTAGGATTTGCAGCTTTCACTGTGCAGGCTCACAACACTTGTGAATTCTTTTATAGCAATGGCTTTGTCTACAGACTTATTATGCATTCCAAAAATCTTTTACTTTACATAATTATATTGACTACATTCTTGGGCCTAATTCTCTGCTGCTTTTCACCATGACAAATACTGTCAAATTACATCAAGTTTCTTGCAGGATAAGGCCTCACCTTCTTACGGGCCTGATCCTACTCTTTGTGAAGGCAATGCAAAACTTCCCTTGAATTCAGTGAGAGCAGGGCATGGCCCTAGCTGGGCCGGTTTGTTCTACCCTCTGAAAGGAGAACCCTCCCACACAACTGCTGACAAATTCTGACAAATTAAGGGCTATTAACTAATGGGCACGTGTGATTCTTTTGGACCAGCAGTGTCTTGGATGTCAGCTGTATGAGACTGCACATGTTAATTAAGGCAAAGTGTGTTGGTGTGTGCAGTTTTTGTTCAGCTTGTTCCTCATTGTAAGACTAATGGACTTACTTAACTTCACAGGCATGAATGAGCTCTACAGGTACTTTTGCCATCTGCCTTTGGCAGAGATCCCTACACAGATACTCTGTGGTAGGATTTATAGCATGAAATTGCCAATTCTACAGAAGCCATTCTCTTAGGACAAAGAGCTTAGTGTAAGTAAGAATTATTCCTGGCTACTATACTTACTCAAATATGATATTTTCATAGTTATGTATTTTCTTTTTGGGGCCATGGGTCATTTCCTAGATGATGTCTCTATGCAGACATGCTCTCAGGATCAGAAGATTAGGGGGATCAGTGACTATAGCACACAGAAATACTAGCATTCATGGTAGACATTACATCAGAAACTTTCAGTTTTAACAACTTTTCAAGATACCTCTACGAGTTTCATTTAAACAAAGATGAATGTTTATGGAAATAACCACGATGCCTGTGAATGTGTATTTCAGCTTGATTTTATTTATGCACGTCCATGCCATGGGGCCGGGAAAAGGGGAAGATAAGAAGCAACACTTTGTTATGAGAGCGTCTGGTTGTCAGAACAATAACTGGAAGTCAGGTCTTTTTTATATTACTTCTGGCCCTGCCCCAACTCATTTTGTAACCTGAAATGAGTCATGTATCTTGCCTGCTTACCCATCTCTAAAATGGGTAAAATGACAATGCCCTTGCAGGGCTGGTACGAGGAAACTATCTATGGTGGCATAGGGGTAAAACGTGCAGTCAGGATATCTGAATTCCATCATCTCTCCTGCCAGCTCCACATGCAACTTCGAACAACTTACGGGACTTCTGCATACCTCAGTTTTCCACTTATAAAGTGGGTCTCAAACTTACCTCCCTCGGAGGAATGTTATGAGTCTAAACTTATATTTTTAAAAAGTGCTTTAGAGATCCTCTTGTTGCAGGCAGTTTGAAAGCACAAAATATTATGTAAGTGTGATTAATGACCTCACACCTGTCTATTGGTATTCAGCATAAGAGAAGACACCTATAAAATGGCAGTGGATTTTATCATGCCTTGTATCTGTGGTAATGTATTTCCAATGTCAAAATGGCTGAATGTGCACCGTATATGTAAACCCTTCCTCTGAACAAAATATATACTGTGCAAATCCTTGTCCATAGGTTGGATTGTCTCCCTGAGATCATTGTTCTAAGTATAGTTTCCTCTTACAATGTGGAGCCATTTTCAGTCCTCAAACCCAGCTGTGGGGAGGGGAAATTTGGGCCAGGTACTAACTAAATACATCAATGTGCCCCATCTGCGCTGTGAAAATCCAGATAAAGGTTAATAAATACAGCCTGAGGTGGAGCCCTCATGTATCGTGGAGATCAAAGGGAAGCAGTGAGTAGGAAAAGAGCAACATAGCCTGGGGACCTCGGAGTTGGTCTGGAGGCAGTGGATTTCCATGAGGATGGCTCTGGCCTCTAGCAGGCTGGATTCATGAGCACCCTCCTCAGTGCTCAGGCTCCATTAGGATGCTCCTTATGGCACATTGCCTTATTCCCTTCCTTCTCATCTACTTTTCTGTCAGAAAGGGCAGTTTGGCCCCATGCGCAGAATGCATCTTTTTGGTGGATCAGAATTAAGCCATTCCAGTGAGACTAGTTTTTCTGTAAACTAAACACAATTGTAAAATTGTAATAGGGAGCCATCTGCTGGTGAAACACAGGCATTGACCTACAGGCTTTCTTGTAATATTAGGGCCTTATTACGCATTAATTTTGGGCGGCTCCTAGAGCTCTTAACCCCTGGATTGTGTGCATGTTAACACCTCTAAGTGGCTGAAAGCACTTGTTATGCAGTTCAAAGGTATGCCACTCCAGGGCAGGGTTATCTCTTGATCCTCATAACCTATCGTCCATTCCATTACGGTGTGGTCATTCCCTGCAGATGTGCTGCTCAAGTTGAAGGTGTGACTGCAAGGTAGCACTAGGCTGATCAACATTTGTGCTGCTTACAGTGTAACATGTGACAAGGTCCTTACAGACACAGTAATGCTGAGACATTCCTGGAAAAATTGAAAAAGAAGGAGCTAGGTTACCTACGAGAGCAAGAAAAATGTGCAGACATCTCACAATGGTATACAGAACCCTGCATTTCCATTAAAATGTTACAAAGAAACACAATTTGAGGGACTGTCTTAATACCAAAACTTGATTTCACTGTAAATTTGGAAGAATCTGCATCCAGACTTTGTCCTGATTAGAGTGATGTGGATGCCTATGGTGACACATAGGGGGTTCACAGGGGTGCACGTGTGCCCCCTGAGATCACTGGTGCACCCCCTGACAGGCAGTGCTCCCCATTCAGGCAATGGGCAGGGGGGCCAGGCAGGAGCATCAGTGCCCCCCCTGTGAATGTCATCTGGGGAGTGGGGGCACCAGGTGAAGTGCCACTGGCACTTCCAGGAGTGCCGCTTGCGCTTCCCTGTAAGTGCAATCGGGAGCAGGGGGATTCCCTCCTTCCCTCCCCGGTCAGTGAGTTTAGCTGCGGGCCCCCTTGCCCCCAAGTCTCTGACGGGCTTCTGGGAGGGTACGCGCCCCCCCTCCGACTCAGGTGGCACCACTTGCCCATGGTGGATGCCACACAGTAAAGTGGAGGACAATTTTTATTCATTAACATAATTGCTTGTCTCAGACTTGACTTCTCTACAAAGAGGATTTTAGTTTAACACCAGTCAGTTATTTTGTTGCGATTGTGTGCCGTATCATACAGAACATAATTGTCATAATCATTTTATGTTTTGTATGAATCTTAATTTTGTGATAATAAACATTAAAGAAGGAATGAATTGGAATAGCCGTTGAGAGAGTTTGTGTTCCTGCCATTTTTGTCATAATATACACTGACTGATAGATAATGATGTCTGATAGTGATTGAAGTTTAATGAGGATCTGATTCATATTGGATTACATTTGACACAAAATGGGGGAGGCAACCTGGTGACAAAGGATGCAGAAAAGGCTGAAGTTCCCATTGCCTTTTTTGCCTCAGTTGTCGCAGGCAAGGTTAGCTCCCAGACTACTGCACTGGGCAGCACAGTTTGGGGAGGAGGTGAGCAGCCCTCAGTGGTGAAAGAACAGGTTAGGGACTATTTAGAAAAGCTGGATGTGTGCAAGACCATAGGGCCAGATGCATTGCATCTGAGGGTGCTGAGGGAGTTGGCTGATGAAATGCAGCGCCACTGTCCACAATCTTTGAAAACTCATGGCTATCAGGATAGGCCCTGGATGACTGGAAAAGAGCAAACAGTGCCCATATTTAAGAAAGGGAAGGAGGAGGATTCAGGGAACTACAGACCAGGCAGCCTCACCTGAGTCCCTGGAAAAATCATGGAGCAGATCCTCAAGGAATCCATTTCTAAGCATTTAGAGGACATAACATGTCAGGGTCCCAAGGGTGGTCATGATACCCCTTGGTGGCTCTGTGACCAAGCCCTGCTCTGCCCCTAGGATGCTCTCCTGTCTTTTCTGCCACGCCTTGATAGAAATATAAATAAATTGGGTGGCTGCCCAAGGACCTTTTCATGATTCAGCTGGATCCTGCCAGTCTCTGTCTGTGCCCAGGCCCCTCACTGGGCCTCACTTTAACTGTGCCACCAAAGGGCACCTCAAGCCTTAAAGGCTAATTGCATGGCTCCAAATCCTTCCCATTACCACATCCCATGCCTTGCAGTGTTACATGGATTCATAGATTTATAGATGTTAGGGGCTGGAAGGAACCTCTTGAAATAATCAGGTCTAGCCCCACTGTGCTTGGGCAGGAAAGACTCCTGGCTCAGATGACCCCAGCAAGATGAGTGTCCAGATGTTTTTTGAAGATATCCAGAATAGGAGATCGTACTACTTCTGGGGGGAATCTATTCCTGGACACTTGAGTTCCTTATGTATAATCTAAAGTGGTTTTCTAGCAATTTATGACCGTTAGGCCTAGTCTCCCCTGGGGAGCCCTGGTGAACAGATGTTTTCCCAGTCCCTGATATATGCCCTTTATATATTGATAGGTTGCCACCAAGTCCCCTCTAAGTCTTATCTACTCCAGGCTGAACAGATCCATGTCTCTGAGCCTCTCATCGTATGGCTTGTGCTCCATACCTCTAATCATATGTACAGCCTTCCTTTGGACTCGCATGCTTCTCCATATCCTTCCTGAAGTGTGGTGCCCAGAACTGAATGCAGTACTTCAACTGTGGCCTCACCAAGACCAAGTGAAGCAGGAGGATGACATCCATGCCACTGTTTTGTTTGCTTTGCTGGCTATTGCATCGCATTTGTGGCTCATGTTCATTGTATGGTCTATCAAGACTCCTGGGTCTCTTTTTTTGTTGTGATACTAGTAAGTGTAGCACTGCTGAGCCTCTAAGTATGTTGCGGGTTGTTTCTCCCCAGGTGGAGCACCTTTCACTTCTCACTATTGAACATCATCAGGTTTTGATCCGCCCACCTTGCAAGCCTGTTCAGGTCAGCCTGTATTCCCAGCCTATCCTCCAGCATGACTGCAGTCTCCCATAATTTGGTGTTATCATAGAATCATAGAATTAGGGTTGGAAGGGACCTTGTAGATCTTCCAGTCCGACCCCCTGCCTGGGCAGGAGAAAAAACTGGGCTCAGGTGACTCCATCCAGGTGGGCATCAAGCCTCTTCTTAAAGACCCCCAGGGTAGGAGCCAGCATCACTTCCCTTGGAAGTTGGTTCCAGCTCCTAGCCGCCCTAACTGTGAAGTAGTTCTTGCGGATGTTTTATCTAAATCTACTCTCCAACAACTTGTGGCCGTTATTCCTTGTTATGCCAGGGGGCGCTAGGGGAAACAGTGTCTCTCCCAAACCCTTCTGGTCCCCCCTAGTGAGTTTATAGACAGTCACCAGGTCCCCCCTCAGCCTTCTCTTGTGAAGGCTGAACAGGTTCAGGTCCCGCAGTCTCTCATTGTAGGGTCTGCCCTGTTGTCCCCAGATCATGCGGGTGGCCCTCCTCTGGACCCTCTCAATGTTATCTATGACCTTTGCCAATCCACTTTTAACACCCAAGTCCAAATCATTAATAAATATGTTAAAAAGTACTGATCCGAGTATTGAACCCTGAGGACACCACTGGTCACCCAGTGCCATATTGACTCAGTTCTATCAATGATTACTCTCTGGGTCCTGCCTCTGAGCCAGTTTCCTAGCCAGGTTGGGCTGTTGAGGCTGCAGTTGTCTAATTTTACTGTGAGCACATTGTGGGAGACCAAGTCAAAGGCTTTTTTGAAGTCCAAGTAGATGATGTCAACCTCATCTCCCTTATCCAGGTGGCAAGTTACGTGATGATCATAGAAGGAAATGAGTTTGGTCAGACATGACCTGCCCACAACAAAGCCATGTTGGCTATCTATTAGCATGTTGCCTTCCATTAGCCTATTGCTGATGGATTCTTTGATAATTTTTTCCAGGATTTTTGCAGGGATTGAGGTCAAACTGGTTGGCCTATAATTCCCTGGATCCTCCTTCCTTCCCTTCTTGTAAATAGGCACCACATTGGTCCTTTTTCAGTCTTCTGGAACCTCTCCGGAGGGCCACAAGTTCTCAGATAGTTTTACCGTGGGTTGTGCAATGACTTTGGCCAATTCTTTCAGCACTCTTGGGTGCAGTTCATTCAGGTCTGCTGACTTGTAGATGTCCAGCACCTCTAGATTTTCCCTCACGAGATCTTTGCCAACCGTTGGTGAGTGATAGGCTCCACCTTGATCATCCTGCATTCTGTCAAGCAGAGTAGCACCCTTGGACTGCTGAAATACTGACACGAAGTAATTGTTTAGGAGTTCAGATTTCTCCTGGGTGTTGGGTGTTATTCCCTGTGTGCGACTTCGGCTTCCTTGGCCTCTGCCCTTTTAATTTTGCAAGGCCTTCTAGGCTGGGCCCACTGAATTGGACCCGGCTTTGAGGCTCTAGCTCTGTTTGACCCTTCCATCACCTGGCCTGTCTGCCAGGCCCAGGCTCCTGTGTGGCTGTGCTCTCTCCCCCTTGCCCTCTCTTTCTGCCCAGTCTGGGCTCAATAAATGTTCAAGCCCTGAGCCTGCCCTTGACAGGGCTCAAGGCAGTTGTGTGCCTGCTGGGCACTAATGAGGCCTCTGTACCTCCCCTTCCAGCCTCATCCCAAACCACCGGTAGAAACAGTAACATAAATCATAAACCCCTGGGCTGTAACATAAACAACAACAATGGAAGCAGCCCTCTGCCCCTTTAAGAGGACAAACTTTCTTTCTCCCCTTGTGTCGGTGTCCCTCCCAGCCTGGCTCTTTCTGAGCACCCTGAGCCTCAGCATTCCTACAGGCAGTAAAGCAATCAGACCAGTATCTCTAGGTGCTTCTCCTGGGCAGGAGCTCCTAACCCTGAAGCAAGCAGGGCTAGCTTGGCTTGTCAGACCAAGCCCCAGATTTTTATGCACCCAGGGCTCTGCCTGCTTCTGATCAGGTGACTGCCTGGGCTGGCTGCTAATTGCCTTGTTAGCCCTGTTGCCCCAACAGCTGGCAGCTGGTGCCCTCTGCCTAGCCTGCAGTTCCCTGGCTGGGCTGCTTTTATTCTGAAATAACAGGGAGCCCCAGGCTCTCTGTTACAGAGGAGAAGAAGGTAATTGGGAACAGTCAGCATGGATTCACCAAGGGCAAGTCGTGCCTGACCAACTTGATTGCCTTCTATGACGAGGTGACTGGCTCTATGGATGTAGAAAGACTGGTGGACGTGGTATACCTTGACTTTTTAGCAAGCCTTTTGATATGGTCTCCCACAACATTCTCGCAGGCAAGCTAAGGAAGTACGGGCTGGATGAATGGACTGTAAGGTGGATAGAAAACTGGTTGGATCATCGGGCTTAGAGTGTAGTAATCAATGGCTCAATGTCTAGTTGGAATCTGGTATCAAGTGGAGTGCCTGAGGGGTTGGTTTTGTTCAATGTCTTCATCAGTGACCTGGAAGATGGCACACAGTGCACCCTCAGCACATTTACAGATGACACCAAGCTGGGGGGAGTAGTAGATACACTGTAGGGTAGAGCTAGGATTCAGAGGGACCTAGACAAATTGCAGGATTGGGCCAAAAGAAATCTCATGAGGTTCAACAAGGACAAGTGCAAAGTCCTGCACTTAGGACGGAGCAATCCCATGCACAGGCTGGGGGCTGACTGGCTGAGCAGCAGCTCTTCAGAAAAGGATCTGGGGCTTACAGTGGACAATAAGCTGAATATGAGCCAACAGCATGCCCTCGTTGCAATGAAGGCTAATGGCAGACTGAGCTGCATTGGTAGATGTGTTGCCAGCAGGTCGAAGGAAGTGATTATTCTCTTCTATTCAGCAGTGGTGAGGCTGTATCTGGAGTACTGTATTCAATTTTGAGCCCCCCACTACGGAAAGGATGTGGACAAATTTGAGAGAGTTCAGTGGAGGGCAGTAAAAATGGTTTGTGGGCAGGGGCACATGATTTCTGAGGAGAGGCTGAGGGACCTGGGCTTATTTAGATTGGAGAAGGGAAGACTGAGAGGGGATTTAACAGCAGCCTTCAACTACCTGAAGGGAGGTTTGAAAGAGGATGGAGCTAGACTGTTCTCAGTGGTGACAGGTGACAGAACAAGCAGCAATATCTCAAGTTGCAGCAAGGGAAGTTTAGGTTGGATATTAGGAAGAATTTTCTCTCTATGAGAGTAGTAAAACACTGGAACAGGTTACCCAGAGAGGTGGTAGAAACTCCATCCTTGGAGGATTTCAAGACCCAGCTAGACAAAGCTTTGGCTGAGATGATCTTGTTGGGGATGGTCCTGCTTTGAGCAGAGGTTTGGACTAGATGACTTCCTGAAATCCCTTCTGACCCCAATTTTCTATGATTCCTTGCATTCACAGAGGAGTGGGGGGCACTACATAAATACTTCTTTCATCTTCTGGGAATTCCTTTCCTTTTCTATGTCCTTGTGATAAGGTATTTAGCAGAATTCGCAGATTTCTGCTGTGGCTCTGATCCTACAACTTCTGGGCTGTCAATTATGCACCTCAGCCCACCCCAGCCCCCAGCTTTCGGGAATGATCTGAATGACTGCTGTACATACTTACTCACTGAAAACTCTCAGAGACAGAATGCCTGTTATTTCCAGTGTTGTGTTAGTTTACTTCCTTTGTTCACTTTGTGTGTAAAGCTTTTAGGGAAAAGTGTCTGTAGTCCTTGGCTAGAGTACTATGTGTGTATGGATGATGTTCAGCTCTATGCAATCCATGTTTCAGCCTCTCTTATTTTCTTATCAAGCTCTGGATGAAAGCTAGCTGGTTTAGATTCAGTCTGGAGACTGAACCATTTGGGATAAGAGAAGGATATTGAATCGCTGAGTCTGCTCCCATTAGTGAGGGGGATATGGTATTCCACAACCTTTTGGTTTTACCTCTATTATTCTTTCTGGATTCCTAGATGCCTGTGATAACTCCTCTATACTTTTTCAACATCTTTTGGACAGGTCTTGCTAGCCTTTTCTCTCTAATACAGTCTTCACTACAGTTGTCCAGGCTTTGTTACTTATAGGCTGACATATTACAAAGAGCTCTACATAGGTCTATTTACTCTTCAGGATCACTCAAAAGCTGCATGTGGCTTTCTGCTTTATAAGCAAGGTAGGCTGACATTAGCTGTTTACACCAGTGCGTCACGTTCAGTGCTGGCTGTCACTTTGCTTGAAGTGCACTTCAAAGCATTGGTTTCTGTCTAGAGAGCCCTGGATTGTCTGAACCCCAGCTGTCACAGGGACCGCCTCTCCCTTATGTTCCACTGCAGCAGTTTTCATTGCCTCATATTGTTCATCTCTAACATTAAATTCCCGACAGGGCATTTTCAGCAGGGCCGGATTAATGCATAGGCAAACTAGGCACATGCGTACGGCCCTAAGCAAAGAAGTGGCCCAGTTGTGCTTATTTTACAGATTCTAGTTATCGAGTGAGAAACAAGTAATATAAATATACGGTATTAAGTAGGGGCCCACGAGTTTGTTTGCCTAGGGCCCACTAAAGGGTTAATCCAGCCCTGATTCTCAGTCAAGATTCTTGGCTCTGTAATTTATCCGTTTGTGTTGTGGCCCTGTAACATAATAGACACTTATTTAGCTGGTATTGTAAATACAAAGATGATCTGTAGTACTATCCAAATGTCCAGCTAGTGAAGAGTTTTCAAGAACTAAACAATGAAGGGCAGCAAGGCAAATTCTTGAGGTAGACTGGAGAAGAGAGAGATGTGGGCATGCGTCTTCTGTGTTCAGCAGCGAGTGCTTGCTGGAGAAAGAGAAGTCCTTTTTGTTTTAAACATCTGGTTATGCATGAAGCAGTGGGTTTACTCCTGCTATAATGCTGTGCAATGCCACAAAAGGACATATGACTGACACCAGATACCGATGTACTGTTTTGAGGACAGAATGAAACCCACTGATACTCAATCTACATGAAAAGCGCTCATGTCTGAAAGAGAATCAGGCACTTTGCAATGCAATGCATTGCACTTACAATGGACAACTAGTTGCAGCAGACAATAATGGTTTTTTCAAAGTAAGCATACTCAATGCACTATATTATTCTCAGGATAATGGACAGAAACATTCTTTATAATGCAAACTGTATGAGCTTTCATGACCATTAGTGTTCCAAAGGGCACGTGTGTGGGAAAACAGGTGGGTAGAACAGAAAAAATGGAAATGAGATGGGGGAGCTAGAAAACTATTATTTCTTATGAAATATTTCTCCTGTAACTTCCTTTTTATTTTGCACTTCATTTTTTATTCAAGGTTTTTTTCATTTTTTATTTTTAAATGTAAATGTAGCACTTACGGAAGGTGATATGAGAGAAGATGACTCAAAGTCTGTTTATCAACGAAGAAGTCCAGCACAACCATCAGCTGGAATTCAGACTGGGGTCACCACCTCAGAGGGTCATACGATCATTCCATATTCAGGCTCATTTGTTTTCTCCACTCTCTGCTGAGGTTGCTGATAAAGGAATCACATTTGGTAAGTCTTCTGTTATGGTTTCTAGTATTTCAGAAATGGGACTGTTTTCTCGCAGTCCATTCTTCATGGGCCACTTAACCAGCCCTCACACTGGGATAAAGTTGGTTACTACATGAGTGAATTTTAAATGGATTACCTAGTGAAAGGTACTGTATCCCATTACCAGGCTCTTAATCATCCAGTCCCATAATTTTCATGACATACTATGATTCACAGCAATGCCAACATTATTACAGTTAAGTGCCTCACCTTTCAGAGTTTCTTTTTTTTTTGTTACCGTTAGCAATACTTATTCTTTAACAGCAATTAAAAATAGACTCCCCAGGGTGAATTTTAAGTAATCATGGAAGATTTGCTGCCAGTTTAAGTCCTAAATTTTGCTGACTTCTGTTACAGAATTTTCCTCCCAAATGGTAATAAGGGATGAAAGTGAAGATTATGAGTGTTACTGTAACCTAAAGTCATCTATCCAACTGAGAAGCTACAAGTTCCTGTCAAAGCACCGGTAATCCAAAAAGTCATGTGAACAATGCATAGGTAGTATGCCACAGGGACTATTTTCTTCATTGCTGATTAAAATGAGTAAACTAACCTTACTAAAGGGATCAATTGAAAACAGATCTAGACTTTCCTTCACGTTGATAAAAGGTATTCCCTCCATGTCTGAAAGACATTATAATGAACTTGTAATTTAATTGCAGGGATCTCATCAGCAACTTGCTTTATAAATCAACGAAGTTCTCAAGTTCCATGTAAAGAATAAAGAAATATAATTAGTAACAAGAATGAATGTTGGCAGTTCTAGATGTACAGAAAAAGTGCCGTCAGCTAGTAAAAAAATAACTGTACTCTTAGCTGGGAGTTGGTGAGAATTTCAGTAATTCAGGAATTATAGTTTGATGATTAAAATATTAGTAAAAGCATCATACAATGTGCATGTGTCCAGGGTCTGGAACAAACTCCCCCTAGATGTGGTGCAAGCACCTACTCTGAACTCTTTCAAAACATACGTGGATATATGTTTTGCTGCCATCCTGTGCACACGTAGCCTCCTCTCCCCGACCTCTGCCCCAGCCCTGCCCTTGAGGCCCCCTCTGCCTGGCCCCAGCATCTACATGTGCATCTGAGACAGCAGCATTCAGATCAACGAGTAGAGAACTAATTCTGAAAACAACAACTACATCTGAACTGAGAGAAATTGGGTGCATGTACACATTCATTA